GACTTCTACTGCATAATACAAAACGCCATTTAATAAAGTTTTTTTTTATTTTAAAAAAATTATTTTTCCGACCATGATAAAAGTCCTGAATAGTTTAAATCAGCGTTACTCAAAGTATACTCGGCGGAGCCCCGTTACTCCGCAAAACCTCCGCTAGGGCTCCGCCGACAGCCTTAATAAAACGAATACATTGATTACAGTAGAACCTTTAAAAATAAAGTTACCTAAAAAAAAAAAAAATAAACTCCCAATCGAATAACCTGAGTTCATCGCGTCGCTTCTCGTTGACGCGTAGTTCGGAGAAAAACATATGGCTCCGCGAAGATTCTGGGGAATTCAAGATAATTCGATGGTGGTATAATATAAAAGGAAGATTGATTTTCGCAGAGAATTTACTAACCAATGAAGTTCTCAACAACATATTTGTGTAAAACGAAATTTTTAGCATAAACAGCTATAAAAAATGCATATATTGCAATAGACTGGATTCCGAACAAAACACAAGAATTTAATTTTCTTCTATTAAGCCTGAAATTACACAGTTGATGACAAATAAATAAAAAACGGGTGTGGCAGTCCAGTGGGACTGCCGGTAGAAGTTATACTTCTATTCACGCGTTCGCCGTTAAAAATTTATATGGTAGTCAATCTGCACAATCATTACATATGCAATGCTTGTAACGAAGATATTTTGCCTACCACAGGGGGCATTAATATAAGGGGTAGAAAATTGGTGGACGAAACTATTGGGGGTGAAGATAAGGCAAGCAAAATAATCGCTACTTGTGCGAACGGCACTCAGGGTTTGGTAGGAGAGCTGGTGAAAAATCAAAAAAGGGTTAGTTCAAAAAAAAAAAATAAATAAAATGTTGAGAAAACAAAATTTAACATTTATTTTTGTGTCACCACAAACAGTTACAACATGAAGAAATACAAGAATACAAAAAACTTACGTGTGTCATTCGCTTACAAATTCCAGGAGTTGGAGATACTACATAAAACTCACAAATGTAACCGCATTACAATTTTTAAATGTTACAATTTCTAAATTTTAACAAAAGCAATTATTGTTCTAAAAAAATATCTGTCTTTACTTTGAAATTAAAGAAACAATAAACAATTACCTGGATTCACATATCTCCACTTAACGAAAAGAAAAAAAAACTTGTTACATTTCTGGATTGGAGCTGCTAGGACGAAACTCTGGAACAAGGGGAAACCAATTCCATACTGGAACGAAGATCTGACGTAGACGGGGTTGGATTAAGCAGGTAAACGACCAAAAAAAGCTGATGGGACATCCTATATATGTCTTCAAAATTGTACCTTGCTCTGGTACACCACACAAAAAATATTTTCTACTGCCACATATTTCCACAAAAAGGGCCAAAACAGGATAAACACGAATTCGACGACGAATTCGGACCCATACTTGACAATACGAAGACCCAAGTATGAATCAGATCCATACTTAACACTACGAAGGCCCAAGTATGAATATATTTGGCCACACCTGACTCCACCGGCAACCCAAGTACAAATGACGAACTTAAAAATTTTTTCATATAAATTGAAAACAAACGCTAAAATAACAAAACATAACGAAATTAAAATGTAAAAGATTCCACTTCTACAATGTATAAAAATTATAATGCGACTTTGAATAAAACATTAAAAGAATTTGCTGAAAAAGTTAAAATAATAAACAACTCTAAAATGGTTTAATTAACTTCCAGCAATGCAAATACAATCATTGAAAACACTTTTGCGACCGAACATTCCGCCGCGGATTAATTTACTGTTGTCTTTCAAATTGGTCCCTCCAACAGACAATTCCAGGAAACCACAGCTTAACCAACGAAAACGTCAGATGAACAGAGACATTGTAAATATAAGACACCAGACGAAGAAGAATATCATTAAAAACTATTCTCTGTATAATTGAAAAAATAATAATACACATTCTGTAGAAAACAAGTATATACATACAACAGAAAAGGATAATTAAAAAAATATTTTCACACCACTGATACAAAATAATCAACAAAATTATAATTCATTTATGTATTCAACATTTACTTAATAAAAGTAAATAAACAAACCATATTTATCTCATGTTTAACACATTAACAATTCTACAAGTATAATATTGACTCAACACATAAATACTTACCAAGGTAAGCCAGTTAGATAATTACTTTTATTACATTAAAAGTGTATAGCATTGGGATTCTTGATAAATATATAAAAAATAATGAAATAATAAAAGCACCAGAAAGGTGCAGCAATTAAATCTTGCATCAAAATAAACAAAACCAGATAAAACAAATGGTTTTGGAGATTCTTAATAAATAAAAACATCTCTTTATTAGAAATAATTGTGTAAAAATAACTTTACCCCTTTTAAATTAGCTGATTTATTATCTGTCAACCACAAGCACATAGTTTCCACGAAAATATATCCATAAATATATAGTCTAGGGGCAAATTGTTCAACAGAAACAATTAATAAACAATTTAAGATTTACGAGACACACAGAAATTATTTTTTTTATAGAGATATTAATATTACAAAGTGCGAGTTGCGCTCTTTGTAATAAGCAAAAATGTGTGATATTGTCAATAATTTGTTATTTTTTAATAATAAATGTCAGCTTCTAATCTACCGATTTTAATTTTTCAATATTTTTTTGGTTTTTTTTTTTAAGAAACAAAACATTATATGAAAAAGAGGTATATCTTTATTAGTTTATCAGTTATAAGCATTTAAACAATTAAATTGTTAATAACAAATTCCTGCCCAAAAATTGAGATTATCATGTTGAAGATTCAGAATTCAGTATTTCAGTAAATATGAAAATTAAATGGACCATATTTTTATGCATTAACAGCACACACTTTATTCACTATGATAAACATAATAGAACATGGACACAATATGAATACATGGAACACGAAACAAGAATACAATAAATCAAATCGACCATGTTGGGACACAACACTTTAGCGACATAATTGAATTATGCATAAGATACAGAGAAAACATAGACTCTGAAGACTACTTAGTTCAAACAGAAATAAAAGCTAGAATCTCCAATATAAAGGAAGTCAGGGCAATTAAAGAGAAACAGCTTACAGTAAAAATGTTCAAAAACCCTGAGATTACTAAAAAATGATAAAATTATTGAAGGTAAGCTAGAAGACTGCCTTCCAATTAAAATTATTTGATTGGAATGCAAAAATGTCAGAAAATATGGTAAAATTGGTACGATAATGAATGTGCAGGAGCACCACACAGAAAAAAACTCCAAGGACAAATAACGAGACAAGTAGTGAAACAGTATAGGCACAACTGGGATGAGATGAAAAACGAATAGGCAAACAAGAAGACTGAACACCAACTGCAAGAACTAAAGAAATCGAACACACAAATAGAAATTCTACAGGAACATTAATCAAAATAGGAATTACTTGAAACCTAGATCAGCAATGGTCAGAAACCTATAAGGAAACATTATTGACCATCAAGACCAAATATTGGAAAGACAGGCAGAAAACTTCAAAGACAGACTAAACATAGAAAGAAATAAGAAAGAAGACATAAGATAGATGTCCAAGAAGCAGAAACATAGCTGGAAGAAGAAAAAGAGAATGACCATCCCGAAAAGGAAGAAGTAATCAAGCTAATTAAAAACTGAAAGAGCACAAATGGCCTGGAGTATATGACATTCTGTTTGAGCTGCTAAAACATAAAACACAAAGTTGACGGATTGTATGTATATGTAATCATTGCCAGCATATACATACAATGTGTCAAACAACTACAAAAATATATAAAAAAAGCTATTTGGGTCATTTGCTATGTTACAAGAAGTATTACATTCATTGATTCATAATTACAGGTAGAGTAGAGTATACACAGTATTGGAATAAAAAATGACCTTGTTGCATAACATTAACAGCCAGATAGGGGTAACCTTTAAACAACTCTTTAGAACACGAAGAAGACCTGGAAATAAGGCTAAATACACCAAAATACATGGGGTATTAGAGACAACGGAACTGAAAATCCTATGAAAGTCATCAAATCTAATGTTAAAAAACAGAAGAATCTAAGAAATTAAAATGAGATGTGTGATACCAGAAATAAAGCTGTGGAACAAAAATAGAAAACCTGAATAGAATCTTAGATAGAAACTTATATACTTAATAATGCCATGGTCAGAAAACATCAACTGGGCTAAAATCTCTGTTAAAATAGACAGATCCCTATCAAAATAGTAAACATAAAAAGAAAAGACAATGGTAAAAATGTACAAAGCTGTAAAATAACTGTTGTAGGTTTTTTGATGAAATCTTATGAAACTGGTTTTGGAATTATTTATTTACTAACTGATTACCAAAAAATAATATAGGTAACAAAGAAAAAAGTAGTGGTGTTGAGTTGATTTTTTAAAGAACATAATGTGGCTAAAAAAAAGGGTAGATGCTTAAAAAACATGGACATATATTATGCCTAAATAATTGCATCGAGGTATGCCATGTCTAAGGCACTACTTTCTGCTGCTCAATTACAATAACAATTACAATAAGTAATTGTCCAGAACCATTGAAATATTTCAAGAAGATCTGCACAATATTTTATATTTATTAATTCACATTTAAAATTTCGACGGTTCAAATTTCAAGTGTTTTATGCACATGAGTACAATCAGTAAATCAATGTATCTTAAGATCTCATAAAATTGGCAAAAAGCCCAAAATTAACCAAACCCCTTTAAGAGATGATGTAATTATTTAGATGGAGATAAAAACACTCACGAAAAGACATTAAAGGGTTAAAAACATATCTAATAGTGTAAATAAAAAACATTGTTGTAATTCAATATTCTATAAAAATTTGTTATTGGTGTTTATGGGAACAAAATATATTATTTAACTCAAAATTGCATTCTGTAATACTTCAGTTTGTTTGGTATAGAGCAAAAGATAATAATTACCTTCTTTGTTCGTATTTTGAACGCTAAAGACGTCGCAGACTCCAACAACAGCAGATCTGTGATGGGAGGCATACTTTTCCTTTTTCCTCCATACACCAAACTAAATAACCAATGTAAAAACATTTCCAAAATTCCTCCTAACACTTTAATGACAGGCCGTACATAGGCCTTAACGCTTTTAGCTTTTCCCATTTTATTTAATTTATTAAACACTTATAGTCTACTATGACAACACTGAAAACGCGCTGCTAATTCACTATATTGTAGCGAAACTTTCGGTTGAATTCACGCACTTCACTTAAAATAATCAACACAATACGTTCAACATTGTTAGAAACAATGTTCTTTCCTATTATCGAGTTGCTATCACACTTTGTGGTCGGTAAAAATAGAAGTAATTTCAGATCGAGTTGCCCCTCCATCACTGCGAATTGTCAAGTTTGACAGTGACATTCACACAACACTATATTTTTAGGTTATGTTTTTGTTGATTTTTGATCTGTAGTAGCTACTCGTTGAACATTGCGGGAGTTAAATAAAAATCAATATAAAAAAATATTTAAAAATTGAGTACAACATAATAAATAATGAATTAAATAAAAATACACGATACTGTTGTTGTATTTTTAATTTTGACCGTCCTATTTCTTTCCGTCCTCTTACCCTTTCTTTCAGAATTTTTTTGATACTGTACATTCTATGACTGCACGTTTGCTATTGTTTCTATATGCCTTAGTGACATAACTTTGTATACTCTTTTTAGGGAGTTATCGTATAGTTCCAATATTCCATTTTTACCATTTTGTAATCTTCCATAAACCTCCGTCACAATATTTCTAGTTTCTGAGCTTTAATCTTATTTTTGTAAGCAGTTAGCATTAGGGAAGAGTCACAGGCTTAGTTCCTATCTTATATAACTTTTCCTTTGTGCTTTTAAGTGTTATTACTGATTTTTGTGGAGACTTTAGATTTAAATGATTTCTAAGATAAGTCCGAAAACATGGAATTCGAAGAACATTATGATAAAAATAGAGGACAACTGGTTGAATAACGGAAAATAAAATCAGACAAACCAAAGAAAGTACAGTTTATAGGGGAGCTTATTAAAAATTTCAATCATACAGAAGACAGCGCTGATACAATAAGGTTAATAACAAACTTGGAAGATTCAGATTAAGGAAATCTTATGCTACAAGAGAAAAATCAAAACTTTATTTGGTTAATAGGCCACAAGTAACGCTAAAGAGGTTGTATTCATTGGGGGGTTGGGGGCTTCATTAGGACACTGATGGTATTAAAATAAATAGTTCTTAAATTAGCAAAATACCCTATGGAATATAAATATTGACATTTGTATAAATACATAGGGAAATACGTACAAAACGACATTGACGTACAAATGACATATCAAAGTTATTAATTATGTCATGGAATTGAACGCCATCTGACAATTGAATCAGGTGGTCCTAATGGAGTTTAATGGTCTGTGAAAACGGACTTACGCCCATCTTACTCATTTTGATATTATTGCGTAGTACTGGTGTTTGTACAGTATAAGTTTTTGTACAGATGAAAAGTTTTATGTATAAATGGTAAGTTTTTCGCTCTTTTACCCATTTTTGTTGCATATATTTTATCACTAATGGATTTGTTGTGCCTCTGATATAATTTATTCTACAAAAAAGCACTCTTTGAATTTATTTTTTTGTTTCCTAACACTATATGGATAAAACGACATAGCTGATTAACAGACATAATGTCATAGGTATGTCATTTTGGCCTTACGATTTCAGTTTTGAACTGAAAATGTAATCTAGGTATTTATTTATTACAGATATAAAAAATGCCTCGCAATTATAAGCGTAAGAATAATCGCCAATCCTGGAGTGAATATTCAATGCACAGAGCTACAGAAACAGTTTGAAAAAAGGAAATGGTTGGTTATTGACATCAAAAACATTTGGTGTTTCACAAAAGCTCTACGAAGGCACGTATTGGGCAATAATAAAACTTTGGAGTCCAATTCGAAAGGTCTTGGATGCTGAAAACCTACCTTTCCTTGTGATGTGGAAAGACAATTTGTGCAGCACTTAAAATTCCGTAAATCTCGTTTGTTTGGGTTGACGCGCGCATTGGTACAAGAACTAGCTTTCCAGTTTACTGGGAAAAACACTTTGCTCATAAATTTAAGCCACAAAAACATAAGGCTGGACAAGAATTGATGGGTGTCTAAGACAAAATAAAGATGTATCTTTACGGAAACCGGAACCTACTTCAGCAGCCCGGGCTCAGGCCTTTACTTGGCCTCAAGTTAAAAAGTTTTTTCAGTTGTATGAAAAACTTCTCGAGTACGTAGACTACCAGCCACATAGAATATATAATACTAATTAATCGGGCCTTTCGCTGTACAAAAACCACAGAAAATTTTGGCTACTACTGGTAGAAAGCAGATTGGCATTATAACCAGTGCACAGTGCGGAATAAACATCACTATTGTTTGCTTCGTTAATGCTATTGGTACATTTGTCCCGCCGATGATGATATTTAAGAGGAAAATATGAAAAATGAACTTTTCGACGAAGTTCCTACAGAAACTTTAGGTGTGGCTCAACAATCAGAATGGATGACAACCGAAATATTTCTCAAATGGATTAAGCATTTCTAGTAATGACGATAAAGTTATTCTTATTCTTGATGGGCATGCGGCGATCGATGCTTTAGAATATTAAACAAAGTAAAACGGTATTAGTATTATTTGCCTGCCTCCGCACTGCATCCATCGCATTACAAGGTATCGCAATTACAGATATCCCGCTTGTTCAAGAAAGCATACGACAAGGCAGTTTCAGTGCAAAATGGTTGTAACGAATTTCCAGATTATATGTATGAACTCGCGGAAACTACAAATAGACCACTGGAAAATATCCCCAATGAGCAACTTGAGCAGATAACGACTTTAGGTGATATTTCAAATGCAGGGTTATCTAAACAATCGCACGATATTTCCACTGTTGGGCTATCTAAACAGCCACAAGATGATACCTTTTTGCTTCTTGCAACAAATATTCTATAAGTTACTCTGACTACACAATCTAAGTGCAAGCTGCACACATCCATGCAATAAGCTGATAATGATAATTATCGAATTCCAGTATTTATTATTTTACAAAACGCTATACCAAAACGTCTTTCAGAGGATAATTGTCTATCTACCGACAAAAAAGAACGTGCCTCGACTTCCCCTCTTTCTGTTTCTATAAAGGAACTTTCTCCGACTCCAAAATATAAATTTATTAGTAGACAGGGAAAACGTAAACCAAAGACTCGTCAAAAATCATTAGTTCTAATCTCTACTCCTAATATGGATGAAATTAAATTGAAAAATAAGCCTAAAGATCCTCCAGCAAAGAGGAAACGACACGTCAGTAAAAGGTAGTTAAAGACGACAGTGAAGAAGAAAATTTGTTAAACAGCACTGAAGATGTTGATCTGGAAGACTCTCCATGCTTATATTGCAACGATCTTTATTTCCACTCTAGGGCTTGAGAAGATTGGGTGCGGTGCAATAATTGTTCTCATTGGGCTCACACTGCTTATGCTGACGTTTCAAAAAAGTCTTTGGTTTTATTTGTGAGCTGTGTAAATAAATATTTTTTTTATTTAAAAATAATACAATTTGTGTAATTAGCTTTTTGGCATTTTTTTAAATAGGACAATAAACATTTAAATAAATAGTACAGTTAAGCGTGCATGTCTTTTTTGTACATAGATACTTATCAAAACAAAATAGACTATATTGCTTTGATCGTAATACATTATTATTAATTTTTAATTGTATTATATGACAATCGATACATATTACTACAAATGCCATAACATTTCAATAGTTACTTCAAACAGTAAATACTTTAATTCAATATTTGAAGACGAATATTATAATTGTGATCAATTATTATCAGTACCAGTTATTATAGAGATATTGTATATTATTATATTCATTATTATTTAAACATATTTTGAAATTTATTACGTTTATTAAATATAATCCCGCTACCACAGAGTTCTATTAAATAACCTACAGGTCGAACACCCTTTGATCGTATTAGGACAGAGTTAAAGCCGACTTATAAAGAGCGCTATTTTTTGGAGAAAAAAAAATGGTTACAAGAATTTAAAAATTACACTTTACGGCATATAAGAAAATTTTAAAAGATCTCGTGTATCTTAGCTTTATTTATTATGTTTATCATGAAATAATGGGGTCTGGGACCTCCTTTATCAACTTAAAACTTGTGAGCAAGGAATACGAGTGTTCCTCCTCAGTCCTAATACCTTTTGGGATGTGGTGACACCATCAGGCCTTGACGCAGTTTTTTCACGATTTCCCTCCATCCTTCCCTGTCCTGACTAGTTGCTCGGCTTCATGTAAACCTTGGTTAATCAATATTTTTGTTTGGATCTTATATCCTAGATTGGGCGATATACCCACATTTAAAAAGCGTCTACTTTATTTTTATCCACTTTCTTTAAGGTCCACGTTTCGGGTGTATATACGGCTATGGGGAAAATATGTGCCCTTACCAGCCTTAGTTTTGTGTGTATTGTTATGCTAAAATTTTTCCAAATTATTACCATTTTCATCATAGCTTTTCTAGCCCTTAACTGGTGAGGTGCATAATATGTTGCGTACTTGGTGACGTGGTGCCTTAGCGTACCCCATTTTTAAAATAATGTTTATCGGCTTATTTTTTTATAAATTGAATAATTGATTACATATTGTGTATTTACATATTACTTTAAACTACGAATAAAAAAATATTAGATTTTAAAGAGCTAACTTGATTATTACATGATTATTCTACACATTCTGAATAAAACCCTTTATTTTGACAGACATAAACTTTATTAGTAACTGTAACAAATTTGTTGAAAATTTTAACAGTTTAACTTCAAAAATTACAAAATGAAAGTATATTCTTATAAAAAAAGTTAAAAACCATTCTAAAAAGTAATATTTATTAAGAAATGACACTTGATTTATTGGACCAAATTTATTGTTCACAACAGTCCTTGCATATTTTTTCTGTACATTCCGCACATATTGGCGTATTACAAAATCTACAAGAGAATATAGTTTTCTTGTCTTTGGACCTGGGACACTTTCCACAGCGTTTTCTTTTGTTTAAAATATTTTCATCCATAGCAATGGGCAACGGAATTTGCAAGATTTTTCCTATGGAAATTCGGAGTTCTCGTGACACCCGTATGTTCTCGATTCTTCTAAGAAGTTGAGGTTTTACGAGAGAGAATGCAAGATCTTTGATAAACTGAAATCTAGATTTGAGTTCACTATTTTTTGTGCATGTATATAGAACATATGAATTTACGGAAGAAATGTTCAGGAGCTGCAAAAAAATCGCCATGGGCCATC